GTAGGAGGTAGAACAGAAGCACTAAAATCATTATTGGGCCAATTAACTGGGATGTTCCATGAAACCATGACTCTAAACCTCCAAACCAAGAAACCAAATCCCATGAGGTCTTTGGTTGTACATAAACAGCCTTAGAAGCTACTCTTTATTATTATTATTATTATTATTTGTCATTGTTGTAAATATTTCTCTCACACTTTTGCCAATTCAACTTTTCATAGATGTACAATTTATTGATAGCAATTACAGTAATCAGCTGGTTGTGCAACCCTACCCTTAATCAATGTGATTTTCCCATCACTGTTAACCCCCTTTTCCCCTTCCTTCCCCCACCCCCGGAACCATTAATAAACTTTGATCTCTAAACATCCGCCTTTCTTAATAATTTAAATTTGGAACACAGAAGGCCTGCTCATAAAATTTGCAGTTGCCACAGTGGCAGAATTCATGCTTTGAGCAATAGAAGCAGGAGTCAGAAGACTACAAGGCTGGATGGAATCCAAGGAGATGACATTTAACCAGCATCATGTAAGGGTCTTGTGTGGTTTCCGAAGAATCCATTACACAAGTACCAGACGGGGAGGGAGAGTTGGTTGGACAGTAGTTCATGGGAAAAGGCTCTAACTGCAAATTCAGGGAGTCACCAGAAAAATGTAGCTGTTGAAAACACACGTGCCTCCAGTCATGCAGGCTGCATCACTAGAGATTGAGCGTCTAGAAAACTGGAGATGACAGTACCTTTCAACCTGGCCCTTGTCAGGCCACATTGGGAGCATGTTTCCACTTCTGGTCCCCACCCTTTAGGAAGGATAACAAATTACAGTGCATTCCTATAGGGATGGTCCAAATTACAGGGAGACCACTGAGACTAGAGGACACTGATCACAGCCCAGGGAAGCCTTGGGGAGCCATGATCCCTGTGCGCAAAGAACTGCAGGGAAATCCCAGAGAAGAGGCACCAGAGTGTAGAACACGGGGACTAGCTTATGGAAGTTACAGGAAAAAGTTTTAGTCAAAGTCCCTTGAGTGGCAAGTAATAGAAACTTATTGGAGCTCACTCAGCAAAAAGGAATTTACTCTAAGGAAGTAGGTGCATTTCAGGACCTGGAGGGCAGGAGGGGCCACCCCAGGGACTGGAGCTGGGAGCTAGAGAGCTGGCAGGAAGCAGGGTACTCTGACCCCCCAATCCCCTCTCCTCTCTGCTTGCTTTCTTGTCATAAAACAGTTGTCTCTGGTTTCCTCCTCTGGAAAACGTCATTTTACAGATAAGGAAACTGAGGCACGGAGTGATCAGGCGTCTTGGCCAAAGTTGTAGAGCTGGGGTTGGCAGAGCCTGGGTTTAACCCAGGCCCTGTGGCTCCAGTGCCCCATCTCTGGGGCAAGGATTCTGACTGAGCCTGGGGAGGTAGGGAAGGGAAGGCTTCCCTGAGGAAGTGATGCTTCAGCTAGATCTGAAGGGTGCAGAAGAGTCAGGCCAAGAGTGTGGGGAAGGGCCCTCCAGGCAGCCCAGGGTGCAGTGAAGATGGAGGGATGGGCTAAGCTGAGGGAGTAAGGTGGGGGTGGGGTCCGGGCAGGATGAGGCAGAAGTGGGCAGAAGTGGTGACATTTGCTCCAGCCCCTGAGGCCCCTGGGCTACATAGCAGGTGGTTCCAACCACAGATTACTGGGTCAAATGGACAGATTTTAACCCCGGCTCCACGCTGCCTGCTGTCCAAGGAGCCACAGGTGGCTGAGGTTTACCCAAAGTGTTCTGGGAGTGATAGGCTGGGCTGGGGGAGGTGGCTCTGGACCTCCAGCAGAAGCAATCAGGTGACTGGGGATATGCTAAGAGATGGGCCTGGAGTCAGGGGTGCCTAGGCAGAGGGATGGGGAGAGGGCCCGGGTAGCTGGCCTTAGGGAAACTGGGCCTAGGAGCTGTAGCTTGAGAGCCCCAGCTCAGACCGACCCTGAGAAGCCAACTTCATGACCAGGGCCTTCTGGGAGCTGGGGTGGGCGTGGGGCCCGCCTCAAAGCCGCCATTGTCACTCTCTGGACCTCCTAACTGTCTGGGCCCTAAAATAGAGCAGGAGCACCGCTGATCTCGTGAGAAGGGTTTCTGGCAAAGAGGTCTGTTTGGGAGGGGTGTGGGGTGTGAGGTGTGAGTCATCGCTGGAAACCCTTGAGTTCCCAAAGCCCAGCTGCCCCTCCCCCGCCCCCAGGCAGCCTGGAATCCAATGAACTGTGGGGGGTTTGTGGGGGTGGGGGTGGAGGTATGTCTCTGTCCTACCCTGCCCAGCTGTGGAGAAGGAGCTGGGTCCTAGCCCTAGCTCTGCCATAGAGGCACTGGGTGACTGAGCCAAATCTTACCCCTCTAGGCCTCAGTTTCCCAGATGTACCAGGAGCCAGCTGTTGTTGTCTGCTGTCCAGTTAATTCTGGCTCATACTGACAGTTTCCTAGGCTGTAATCTTTAGGGGAGCCCAAAGAGCAGCTGGTGGGTTCACACTGCTGACCTTTTCAATAGCAGTCAAGTGCTTTAACCATTGTACCACCAGGGCTCCTGCCAGGAGCCTGGGACCTCACCATTTGCTGTGAGCCCTCTGGAATCCATGGCAGGTGGTTCTAAGATAGATTCCAAGTCAGACAGACACAGGATGAAACCCCAGTTCTACTTCTATCAGCTGATTGACCTTGGGCAAGTCCCTCTACCTCTTAGGACCTTGGTTTCCTTGTCTATAACATGCACATTGAAACGAAGTCTTGTTCTCTCCAGGTTTCAGGTTGAGCTATGCAGGAATCTTGGTAGCTCCCCGGGGCCTCCTTCTATGACCTCCACAACCTCAGATGGCCCATTTTATTCTGCCAAGTAGTGATCCTACTTATTTTAAGCTTTAAGAAATTGTGGTAAAAACACATAACGTTTCCCATTGGTGGTAGTTAGTGCATCTATAAGGTTTGCAATCATCACCACTATCTAGATACAGAACATGTTCGTGGCTCCAAAAGGTGATGGATATGTGGGTTCTCGCCGCTGTTTGGCTATTGTGCATAGCGCTGCTATGAACATTTGTGTGCAAGTTTTTGTTTTGGAGAACCTGTTTTTAATTCTTTTGGTTGTATACCTAGAAGTGGAATTGCTTCTATGCAATTCTATGGTAATCCTAAAGAAGCTCTGGTGGCATAGTTGTTGTTGTATTTTGCCATTGAGTCAGATCCGACTCATAGTGACCTCTCCTTGGGTTCCCAAGGCGGTATCACTATGGAAGTAGATTGCCCAATCTTCCTTCCTTACAAGGAGTGGCTGGTGGGTTTGAACTGCCAGCCTTCTGGTTAGCAGTCAAATGGCTTAGGCACTATACCACCAGAGCTCCTGGTGGCATAGTGGGTAAGGCATTTGGCTGCTATCCAGAAGGCTGGTGGTTCAAACCCACCAGCTGCTCCATGGAAGATGAGGCAATCTAATTCTGTAAAGAGTTACAGCCTTGGAAACCCAATGAGGGTCACTATGACTTGGAATCGACGTGATGGCAGTGGGTTTGGTTTTGGTTTATGATAATACTAAGGAGCCCTGGTTGCGCAGTGGTTAAGCACTTAGCAGAGGCTCTGAGGGAGAAAGACCTAGCAATCTGCTTTTGTCAGTTTATAACCAAGAAAACCCTATGTCAGATGGGATCACTACGAGTTGGGGTTGGCAGCATCCAACAACAACAAAAACAACATGGTAATTCTATGTTTAGCTTATTGAGGAACTGCCAAACTATTTCCTCAGGGACTGCACCATTTTACATTCCCACCAGCAATGGATCAGGGTTCCAATTGCTGCACATTCTTGCCAACACTTATTTTCCTTTTTTTTTTTACTTCTAGCTATCCTGAGTGTGAAGTGGTATCTCACTGTGGTTTTGATTTGAATTTCCCTAAGGATGTTGAACATCTTTTCATGTACTTGTTGGAAATTTGTACATCTTCTCTGGAGAAATGTCTAGTTGAGTCCTTTGCCCATTTTTTGACTGGATTGTTTGTCATTTTGTTGTTGTAGGCATTCTTTATATATTCTGGATACTAGACCCTTATCAAATACAGTGACCCCACTTTTTAATGCCTTGTGTCTTACACACATTGCCTCTTGGTCCCCAAACCTGAAGGGCAGGGATGGTTATGGTCTCTAGCGCTCTTAGCAGGAACTCCTCAGCCTTGTTTGGGACTGGTCACTCCTGGAGGAAAAGGGTCTTGACTCCAGGTGCAGGCCATCCAGGGCACCTACCATATGCCAGACTCTGTGCTGGGTTCAACCCTGGAGTCTTGTGGGTTAGGGATGTTTTTCTTCATTGTTTAGATGGAGAAACAATCTTATTTGAGTGCAACCTCTAAATTTAGAGTCAAGTAGCTCTGGTGGTGTAGTGCTTATAACATTTGGCTGCATACCCAAAGCTCAGCGGTCAGAACCCACTAGCTGCTCCCAGAGAAAGATGAGGCGGTCTTCTCCAGTAAAGATTTATAGCTTTGGAAACCCTAAGGGGCAGTTCTACTTTGTCTTATCGGGTCACTGTGAGTCGGAATCGACTTGATGGCAGTTGGTTTGGCTTTTGGTTTTCAAAGGGGTCTATCTGCCTGGCTCTTTGTAAACTGGAAGGCGCTAAGCACCAACTATCAGCAGTGGTAGAGGAGGGAGCGGTGTGTGAGGCTGGCGCGCCCTCTAGCGGTCACCGTGACCACCGCCTTATCCCGCCGGCTGGGGCGGCCCGTGGTCTGGTTGGCAGTGGCCACGAGGGGAAGCCTCTTTTAGGAGCATCACTCTGCCTGTCTGCTACCGTCCCACGTCCCCCAAGCTGAGAGCTGTCTCTCCCTGACTGTCCCTTCTCATAGCTTCCCTTAGACCCTGTCGAGGCTGCGAGCTCCACCCCAATTACCATGGAGACAGCTTGTACACAGTCCCCTCCCCTTTTCCCCTTCACCTGAGGCTGGGCCTGCGGGCAGGACCCACCTCAGAGCAAGCCCTGTGGGGCTGGACGGCCCGCGGCCCATGAACAGCCGGGCCCCGGGGACGCTGGCCGTGGGGAGAGTGAAATACTTCAGCGGGCACCGCGGCGAGGTGAGGCTCAGCCCCGCTCTGCCCTGGCTTTGGGTGTCGGTTCGAGTGTAGTGGGCACTGCTGTGTATTCTCTGGGCTCCAGTTCTGGACCTTGAGTCTAGAGTAGACTTTGAAAAAGTCTGGGTTCTAGCTCCAGTTTAGGCTTAGCCTATGGTTTCACAAAGAACTCTGAGTTCTAGACTCTGGTACTAGAAAGGCTTTGAATTCTGGTTCCAGAGAGGACCTTGGGTTCTGGGCCCTGATTCTAGAGTGAGGCCAAGCTCCAATTTTAGGCTTCTGGGGACAGTGTTTAGGGCTGGCCCAGGGTTCTGGGGTTAGGGATGAGCAGACAAGTATTTCCTGACCCAGGCTGGGACAACCTTTGTTCTCTGCTTCCAGGTCAACTCCTCTGCCTTCTCCCCCAGTGGCCAGACACTGCTAACAGCCTCAGACGATGGCTGTGTGTATGGCTGGGAGACCCAAAGTGGGCAGCTGCTGTGGAGGCTGGATGGCCACACAGGTGAGGTTCCCACAGTCTTGATGGGGAGACTGGCGCATTCTGCAGAAGCCAACACAATGATCTCTGGTGTCATGGTTGGGGTAGGACAGCAAGAAGACAAAACTTAGTCCCTGGATCTTCCAAGCCTAACAGACCTGGGCTAGGATCCTGTCCCACCTCTTTGATTGTGGCTATTGGTCAAGTCATCTCACCTCTGAGTCTCTATAGCCTCCTCTACAGAATGGGGATGGGAGCTCTGGTAGTGTAGTGTCTAAAGCACTTGACGGCTAACCAGAAGGCTGGAGGTTCAAACCCACCAGCCACTCCTCAGAAGGAAGATGGGGCAATCTACTTCCGTGTAGTGATACTGCCTCAGAAACACAAGGAGGAGTCACTATGAGTCGGGTCCAACTCGACGGTACATAACAACAACAACAACATAGAATGGGGATAAGGAGCCCTGCTGGTGCAGTGGTTAAGTGCTCAGCTGCTAACTAAAAGTTTGGTGGTTGGAACTCACCAGATGCTCAGTGGGAGAAAGATGTGTCAGTCTGTTTCCATAAAGATTTATAGCCTTGAAACTCCAGGGGCATTTCCTGTCCTATAGGGTTGCTAACAGTTGCAATCAAGTCAGTTGATGACAGTAGGTTTTTTTTGGAATGGAGATAATAGATAGTAGCTACCTTACAGGGTGAGATAGTGAAAATAAAGTGCATTACACCTAGTCAGGATTCAATAGATGTAAATGATGTAAATATTATTTTTAAGGAGACAACACCCACCCCCACCTCTAAAATAAAGCAGGCAATTACAGGGCAGGTGGATTAATGCTATAATAATGTGGGAAAATCCAGGGAGCTCAAAGGAAGCAGGAAACCTAGGTGGGGCCATCAGGGATTGTCTGTTGTTGTTGTTGTTATGTGCCGTCGAGTCAGCCCTGACTCATAGCGACCCCTCCTTGGGTTTCCGAGGCAGTATCACTACGGAAGTAGGATTGCCCAACCTTCCTTCCGAGGAGTGGCTGGTGGGTTTGAACCGCCAGCCGTCTGGTTAGCAGGCAAGTGTCTTAGCCACTTCCAGGCTGAGTGCTCAGCATAAGCAAAGGCATGGAGGTCCAGGTATTGGGAAAGAGGACTGGGTGAGGGGATGTAGGTAGAGGCTAGAGAAGTTAGCGGGGGTTGGACACCAGGAGTAAGAGAGCTGTGCCCTGTTCCCTGACCATGGCTACCACCCCAGGCCCCGTGAAGTTCTGTCGTTTCTCCCCCGATGGCCGCCTCTTTGCCAGCACGTCCGGTGACTGCACCATCCGCCTGTGGGATGTGGCAAGAGCCAAGTGTCTGCAGATCCTGAAGGGTGAGTATGCTGGCCGAGGTTGGAAGCCAAGCAGCCAGGCCTGAGTTCTCTTTTGTCCTGTGCCACCTCCTTCCCTTCCCAACCCCAGCCTGGTGTCTACAGGTCATCAACGGAGCGTGGAGACAGTCAGCTTCAGTCCTGACTCAAAGCAGCTGGCATCAGGTGGCTGGGACAAGAGGGTGATGCTCTGGGAGGTGCAGGTGCGTGGGAAGACCCAGCCAGGTACTTGGAAAGCCAAGCCAGGCCTGGAGGGGCAGCAGGTGGCCTGGGATCTGGAGATGCACACCCTCCACACTGGGTCCAGGTTGTCCCCCCAGTCTTGTCCTTCTGGCTCAAACCCTTCAGTGGTTCTACATCACCCATACAGGCCCTTCACATCTGGCTGCTGCCCCCTCTCCAGACCTGCACATACTAGCCCTCAAGCCTTAAGACCTTTGCATTTGAGGTTCCTCTCATCTTCAAGGCCCAGGCCTCCACAGACCCTGTGTTATTTGTCCTATTAGTCTGGCAGCCCTGCAAGGAGGGCCTGGGTCTCAGAGGCCTAGACCCTGAGACCCCAAGGCTCCGCTGCTGCCCTCTACTGCCTCCCTGCAGTTCAGGCCTCTCTCCTCCAGTCAGGCCAGCGGCTGCGCCTCTTACTCGGACACCATGACTCCGTCCAGAGCAGTGACTTCTCACCCAGTGCGGACTGTCTGGTGAGCTCACACCACTCTTGCCCAGGCCCCCACCTCAGTGGCCCTATAGGATGAGGGAAACTGGAGCCCCATGCCCCCTTTCCCATCCTGGGCCATGTAGCACAGGCTGCCAAGTTGGATGGGTTAGAATTCCAGACCTTAAATGGGCAACTTTGCTGAACATTTCATCTGTAACATGGGGATTTGGCAGGGCTCAGTGAGGCTTTACATGAACCTTGCAGAGCTGGGCCAGCCGGTCCATGCTCATGGCAGCTGCCTCTAGGCCACTGGCTCCTGGGACTCCACCGTGCGCATCTGGGACCTGAGGGCCAGGACCCCAGAGGCCTTCCACCATAAGCTGGAGGGCCACAGCAGTAACATCAGCTGTGTGTGCTACTCAGCATCTGGCCGCCTGGTGAGCTGGGTTGCCCTGGGGTCTGGGCTGGCCCCTTGCCAACTAGCAAGACCCTTGGAGGGTCATGGGACGTTCTGGAGCCCAGTGAACATGGAGACCTCATACTCATGGGCTCAGAGTTGTCTACTGTCTAGGCATCCGGTTCCTGGGACAAGACCATCCGCATCTGGAAACCCCAGACAGCCAGCCTGCTTGTCCAGCTCAAGGGCCACGTCAGCTGGGTGAAGAGCATAGTGTTCTCCCCCGATGAGTTGTTGCTTGCCAGCGCGGGCTACTCTCACCTGGTAATCCCACCCAGTCTCCTACTCATCAACTCCTACCCCAGCAAAGCTTCCTTTCTGATAGCCCTCAGCCACCCAGGAATGTCCATATCCCCACTAGCCCTAACTAGAATGGTACCAAGGAGAGGATCCAGGTGGTAGCCTCCTCTGTGCTTGGTACCAAGGTCTGGGCTGGCCCAAACACCAATGGTACTTACGCTTTTATCACAGATACTGTGCCCAGCATAAATGAACCTACAGGTTAAGATGTTGGTTGGGACTCACCTCTAGATGATTTTAAAGATGCTAGATTTGCCTGGTGAGGCCTCCCTAATCTGGAATTTTATTTCCAGGTCAAAGTCTGGGACTGCAAAACAGGGAAGTGCACTGAGACCCTCCAGGTAAGGCCTGTGGCTGTATCTCTTGACGTTGCAATGGAGGCCCCTGGGGAGGCAGGGATACAGGCAGGGCTGCCAGAGCCCGTGCTGTGCTTTTGGCAGGGAACTCTGGATGTGGCCCATGCCTGTGTCTTCACTCCTGATGGGAAACTCTTAGTGTCTGGAGCTGCTGACCAGGCATCGTGATCAAATCACGCAGAACCAGGTGACCTCTGGAATGTAACATCACTGTACCAACACAAACCAATGAAACTAGCAGGAGGACACAGGGTAGATCCATGTCACAGGCCCAAAGGGACTTAGAACACCCAGCAGACCCCTGCAGCCAGGGCTGCCATGGCCCAACACCAGAAACTTGCTAAAATCCATCAGACACCCACTGATCACAACCAGGGCCACCCCAGCCTCAACCCCCTTCCTAATCTCTCCAGCCCAGTCAATGGAAACACCTTCAAATACAAAGCAACAGGTCAGTCAGCTTGTGTTTTATTGATGCGAGATGCTCAGGCCTTCACTGCATATTTCCGCAGCGGGTACAGCCTCTCCTTCCGCTGCTGTTTCTTGGTCTTCAGGTTCTCTTCATGCTTGTTGAGCCGGCGGCGCATGGCACGCGTTTTCTTGGGCCGCAGATCCAGGGGTTTGTACTTCTTGCCCTGGATGAGGGTGGGCAGAGCAGAACAAGTCTGAGGACCAGGGTTTAGGAGATACTGCAGGAAGCCCAAGAGAGGCCTGACAGGGGAGGGCTTGGGAAGATGTTGGGAAGTGGCTGAGGGAGGTGCTGGATTTCGGTGAAACTGGCAGAACTGGTGAACCAACTCCGAACTTAGTGCTCCTTCTACTTCTGATTCCTGGCCACAGACTCAAAGTCACACCACAATCCAAGTAAGGGGCATGCAGCACCTACCAATCCTGGAGATGGTCACTCTTACCTTGGTGTTAAGTTACACAACATGGTGCGTGTGGGGGCTTTAAGCTACCGCCTGCTAAATCTGGACAGTCTGCCTATGGTGCTACCTGCAATAACCTGACCAGGAGGAGGCTCCTCTTTAACCCGTAAGCCTCAGAGGGAGATCTGGCTTGGCCAAGGTCATCCTGCTGTAAGGGGCAAAGCCCTCCCCCTCCTGCCTAGAGCAGGCCACTGTCTCTTGGTCCATCGCTGGCTCACATACTACTTCCTTGCTCCCCAATGAAGGGCTCTAGATTAAGGCAGGTCTCATTGGTCTTCCTTGTTTTTCAAAGATCCCTTGGGCCCTTTTTGGGATGAGGCCCTTGCTAGATGCTGGCTTAGTGATGACTCAGACCCAGTCCCTCTAACAGAGCCCTCAACAGATAGTAAGTGGCCCAACGGTGGTGATGGTTGAGGAAATCAAGAAAGTTCCACTTAAGAAAGACATAGTAGCAGTCTGGAGGGCACAGGCAAGGGTAGGCATGTGCGGAGGCAAATGGGGACTGGGTCATGAACAACCTGTGGGCAGCAGAAAGCTAGGCAGGTCAAGCTCTAATGGGGACTTGGGAGGCAAGAAAATACGTGCCCACCCACACATCCCACATGTGGCTAGTGGCTACTATATTATACGGCACCGCTACAGAACATTTCCATCCATGCAGAAAGTTCTACCAGACAGAGTTGTCATACAGCAGAGATCGTACCTCTACCTCCCTGACCAAGTGGTGCCTGACATGAGCACACAGGGCACTCACTGGTCATGAAGGCCACCACCCCTGCATAGTCCCCTCCCCTCAGAGCCTGTGCAATCTCCAGACATAATTCTCAGAAAAACGATTCAGTATACAAATGCGCACACATGCCTGTGTGGCAGCACTGCCACCCTGGACAACCACAGGGCACACGGCACACTGTGATAACTGTTTTGATGTGTCAAGCCCAGCCGGCCACCACCCCTAATTATTCAAACAGCCATCACCAATCTGGGTGTTGCTACTATGCATTTTGCAGATGTAATTAAAGCCCCTAATCCGATGATTAAGTAAGGGAGAATCTCCTGAGTCATCCAGAAAGTCCTGATTCCATCAGCTGAAAGACCTTAAAAGCAAGGCTGTGGAACCTCCCCCAAGAAATCCTACCGGTGACAACACCAACACTTGACCATCATCTTCCTTTCTGCCAGTTGGCCCTACACACATCAGACTTGCTTCACCAGCGCCCCCAGTCAATTCTTTGTAATAAATCTTGTTAATGTACTTCTGTCTCCTAACGGCCCTGGTGCTCTGCTTGAATCCTGCTGCACTAATATGAAAGACAAGACCAGAAACCCAAGACCTTGTCAAAATCCAAGGCCACACAGACGCTTGTGAAAATCGCCCCAGAGCACTCAATCCACTCCTCCCTACTTTTCCCAAGATGTGTTTGGAACCCAGGTCTATCACTTTATTACTTGTAGGTGACCCTGAGCAACTCAACCTCTGTAAGTCTTGGGATTCTTACCTTAAAAAAAAAAAAAAAAAAAAAGAGGATGGCAAATGCTACTAAGAGAAAATTAAACCATTTAACCCTCTTAAACTGCCCAAAGTCACTCAGCTATAAGATGGGATTCAAACCCAAGTCTCCACCACAGTCCCATCACGATTTATTGACAGCTGCAGCACGGAGGAAGTGCACATTCTAGTGGAAGATGCTGGTAGGAGAACAAACCCAGTCACAATGGGGGGAAGCTCTGGAAAGCCCAACTTAGTCTGGGCAAAGCATGGTTCCAGGCACTCCAGCAGGAGAGCTACTTCACACTGCCCCTGTGGCCAGAACAAAGGCTGGAACGTTGTTCCCTGCAGCCACATACCCCGTCCCAGCCTTACATTTACCTTGTAGTACTTCCTGAGGTTCTCCTTCTGAGTCTGGTTGATAACAGTGAGAACTCGGGCAATGGATTTGCGGACGACTCGGCTACAAAACAGAGATACCAGTGAAGATGGGGAAGATGCACAGCACTCCCCAGACAGCGCATTCAAGGTCTGCCATGGTCTGCCACAGGGCAGCAGCCTAGATTCACCTGGCCTAGCCCAGGGGCCAAGCTTCCTGGAGATGAGACTTGAGCAGAATGCAGAGAGGTGTGGAGGAGGTCACCCCAGGAGTGAAGACAGGAAACGGACTGAAGAGCCCAGAGTTGTGCCAAGTTCACTGAGATAAAGGCTTAAGAGAGAACTGTAAGCTGGAGGTGGGGGCAGATCAGGAAGTCTTTGATCTCAAGCCAAGGAATTTATCCTGAGGGTCAAGAGGAAGCCCTAATCAATGTGTATCTAATCAGAAACCCATCAGATCACATTTTACAGACAAGATCCAGGCAACCACGAGAATGGTCTGACTAGAAGGAATTATGGACTGATTGCTACAAGCCGGGCAGCCAGGTGAACTAAAGGAAACATGGGATGGAGACACTGGGAAGTAAAATGTCATGGGAGGGGGGAATTATCTGGGTGAAGGGGCTGAAAATGGGAGCGGGCTGGGAGAAGCCAAGTCTGTAGTCATGCCGAGCATGCGGTGTCTTAGGCGCTCAGGGTGCATCACCTATTAAGTAGCTGGTAAACAAGGTATGGGGATTCAGTACGCAACTTGCCTACATCCTACATGGTCTCCAACTCATTCAATTCCCCCAACTCCATGGCTTTAAGGTGTGTATAACCCCACTACACATCCTGCCAAAAGAAACTCACTGTCATCCAGTTGATTCCGACTCATAACCACCCCCACTGTGTTTCCAAGGCTGTAAATCTTTCTGGAAGCAGACGACCTCATCTTTTGCGGAGCTGGTGGGTCTGAACCACCACCTTTTTGGTTAGCAACCAAGTGCCTTAAACATAAACCATCAGAGCTAAGCGGTGTCTAGGGAGGATTTCCCATAACAGGAAAGAATGGCAGGAGAGGAAAACTACCCGTCAAGTAGGATGTGGCAGAACCCAGATCAGTACTCAAGTCTGCTGACTCCGAGCCTACATTTCTTCCACAAATCAATTGACTCTTATCCATGCAAATCGAAACGTTACATTACAACCGAAGTAAGGAGTGCAAAGCATCCATCCACCAATGTGGGGGGGAAGATAAGTAAAGAAAAATCAACTGATGGTGAGAAGCGGAAGGTAAGGGTCCACACACGCTTTTGGAAGCATTTTAAATGAGTCTTCAGGGTTACCCAGTTCTTTCTCCAACCAGAGAAGATGAGCAAAGGCATTTGCAGACAAGGACCTGCACTATCAAAATCAGTAAGAAAAGCTCACAGCGGGTCCCATGAGGCCGAGTGTGGGCAAGGCGAGCCTGACATTTAGGCCCGCGGATCTACTGAACCCGCAACTCAAATGAACACCAATTCTGAAAAGCTACAACCGTTCCACCCAGATGCACACGTGCCCCCCAACCCCAGAGAGCTGAGGTCTGACTGCCGGCCACTTACATTTTAGAAAGTTTGGACGCCGCACCGCCTGTCACTTTTGCGACGCGCAGCTGGGACAGTTCCACCTTCAGATCGTCCAGCTGTTTCAGAAGCTCTTCCTTCTTCTTGCCGCGAAGGTCTCGAGCCTTAATCTTGGCCTGCGAGAGAGAAGAGATTGGAGTCAGATGCGCCAAGGAGCCATCTCCCCTTTCGCTGCCCTCTAAGGCCGCCACGGACCAGTCTCGGAGAGTCCGGGCGCAAGGCCGTGCCTCGGGCAACTCAGCCGAGGCCCGGGCGGGTGCGTTCTCGTCTAAGCCTGCTACGAAGAGGGCCCGCTACTCCCATTCCACCGCCTGGAAGACTGAGGATCCCACCGGAGTGCGCGCGCCTCTACCGGTCCCGGCCGGTCACGGGGTGAAAGCCGGAGGTGGGCTGTAGCGGCGCTAGACCGCTCGGCGGCGGCACCCCCACTGGCTCGACCTGCAGAGGAGACCCTGGGGCTTACTCTACTGCCGTCATTCCAGCCCCAAAGCCCTACGGCACGCGGATGGCACCCGATGCCAATACCCTCACCATGACTGAGTACTAGAACGCCGCCGCCCCTGCCGGATCCGAGAACGAGAGAAAGAGAAGAGGGACGGGCCTGACGTCCGCAACTACTACCGGGTGACGGCGAGCTCAGCCAATGGCGACGCGGCAGAGAGGGGCAGGCTCCGCCCCCTCAACCCCCACCCCCGGAACGCCTTGGTACGGCCCACCCAGCACCGCCCCTTGATAGTCTTCCCTCCTCTGCCCCAGACCCCGCACTGGAGACTTTCCTAGTTGGCAATCCACATGGGGAAACTTACCGGAGAGGAGTAGCAGGACTCGAATTTGTCTATTCAGTGACTCATTCGTTCATTTATTCGGTAAACCGTTGCAGGTGGCTCTGTCTGTGCTGTTCGGAGCTAGCCGCCCTAGATTCGGGGGTGCGGAACCGGTAAGGAGTGAAGGTTTTCAAAGATCAATTAACGCAGTTCCTACCTTATAGGAACTTAATGTCGGAGGTGGGCGGGGAGTGGCGAGGTCAGATAGCTACAGTGTCATCCATCTCCATAAAGGTACTAATGGAGACAGCATGCTAGGGTGGAATGCCCCTTTGTTTTACGACCCCCACGTGGTTTCGAATTCCTGTTCTGTTGCCAAGTACTAGCTGAGACCCTTGGCAAAGCCCTCCATCTCTCTGACCCTCAGTTTTCTCACCTGTGAAACGGGGTGTTTATGAAGATCATGTTGTTAATCTACATCCGTAGTGCTATCGCCTCGGAAACCCAAGGAGGAGTTGCTGGGAGTCGGTCCGACTCCACGGCAGTGCGTTCAGGTTTTTGTTTGTTTGTTTGTTTTAGTTGCCCTCCAGTTGATTCCGACGTATGGCAACCCTATGTGTGCAGAGTAGAACAGCTCCATAGGATTTTCAAGGCTGTGAGGTTTTGGAAGCTGCTCACTACTAGGCCTGTCTTCTGAGGTGCCTCTGTGCTTTGGAACCACCAACCTTCCAGCTAGCAGTCACGTGCTGAACTATTTCCCCACCAGGTACACCTTAGGAGGATTAGCACAAGATTAGCTCTTAGCACAAGACCTAGTGCATAATGATGGCTCAAAATATTATCTGTTTTAACATTCCCAGAGGAACGAACCTTTGAGTTGGACCTTGAAAGTTAAAAGCAAATTCACAGATGGAGAACTTGCCCAGGCCTCGGGACTGGGCCCCCAGGCAGCAAATGTGAATCAGTCCTCCTGTGCCACTTTAGCCTTGTTAACAAAGACACAAAAACACCTCAGATGTCTGGTTAAGGTCAACCTGGAAGTTCCCTTGGGACAGAGACATGGCCAGCCCCTGGTGTGGTCTTTTTAATCTCTAGGACCAGCACATGGATGTGTGGGACAAGCTTCCAGGAGCTGGAGAAATATGGGGAAAAGAGGGCAGAAAGCGATTGTGGCAGGGATTAGTCTTAACTGGAAGTCTAATGATGCGTGGGGGCTTCCCTGTCATATGTTCCAAATAACTACTAGAGCTATTGTGTACATTCTTCCTGAACTTGAAGTCCCCTGTGACTTCCTTATTTCTCTTAATCCATCAATGAATCTTGCTAGCTCTCCCTTGAACATACACCTGACCTCTTATCATCCCCGTTGGCATTTTCCTCGTCTGAGCTACTATTGCCTGTCACATGGACCATTGGAGTCACCTCCTAGATTGCCTCCCCACTTCAGCCCTCACTCTGCAATGTGTTGTCAATACAACAGCTAGAAGGACTATTTTTGAACTTAAGTCCGATCATGTCACTGCTCTGCTTAGAACTTCCAGGGCTGTTCTGAGTTAAGAGCACCACCCACCCTGCCCCCTCTATCACAGTTTTTCTCCCCATTCTGCTTCATTGGGACCTTGTTGTTTCTGCAATACACCAAGCCTGCCCCATCTCTGGGCTTTTGCTTGTCCCTTCCTTCACGTCTCTCTTCAGTGTCATCTCCTCAGGGATGTCTTCTCTGTCTATATATGTGCAGTAGGTTGTTAATGTATGGCCCTCCAGCCACGGTGTTATAACTCCCATGAGGTGACTGGGTGGGGCTATGCAAATTGAATGCTGTGGCCCACCAAGGGGATTGGACAGTTTTGCTAATGCAAATAAGTTACATGGAACCCTTATGAGTGTGAGACCATGCACATAGAACCCTTGGAGGGGATTGGCCAGTTCTGCCTTCCCACTGGGGACTTCATTACCATCAAGAGTTGGGAGTGGGGTGCATCCTTGGGCATAGGTCCCTATGCTAAGAATCTCCTAGACCTAGGAGACAGACAGTTGTAACACAAGATGGCATGACATGGGGAGAAGTGGTGGCAAGTACAGCGGAGTCCAGAGGCAGAGAAATGGTACAGGAGAACAAGGTGACCAGTGTGAGAGGGTGTGGTGGGCTTGGCCACTGAGTGAGGTAGTTACAGTGGACAACAACCCATGGAGTGAGAGAGATGAGCACCTTCAGGTAGGAGCCTTGCTGGTGGACTGGGGTGCCTCTGGGCATTTTTCAGTAGAACTAAAGAGCTTCGTAACACTTGCTCATGCAGGTCAGGGCCCAGGCCAAGAGTGAGGAAACAGAGGCAGTAGATGAGAAGAAACTCCTGATCCAAGAATTGTATCTTGAGTTGTTGTTTCTTCCAAATTGATCCTGATCCTGAATTGTAACCTTTTACTTCCCTAATAAATCTCATAATTGTTTATATGGTCTCTGAGTTCTGTATGGCCATTGTAATGAATTATTGAACCTGGCAGAGAAGTAGAGTGATGTGGGAGGGACAGCTGGTGTCAGAATTGGTAAAGACTGGAGAGTGGAGATACGTCTGATCTCCACCTCTTGGGAATTGTGAAGTTAGATGAGGTCTGATGCCTTGCTATTTTTATACCATCTTACCTAAGGTACTTACCCTAGGCACTGTGTGATTTTACTTCCCTCAATCTTAATCATCCCTGACATGGTATAAATACAAATTTTTTCATTCTGTCTCCTTGACTGGAATGGAAGTCCATGATCATGAGCTAGGACATTATTTTCTTCACCAGTTTATTTGGAAGATGTTTCCTTACTTGCAAAATGGGTGTTTTGGGCCTAAAGTCTCTTCTGACTAGGTTGTTCTAGGTATATATCTCTGCTGTCTCGTGGCCTAAGTCACATAGGTTTCTTCCCAGTTGTACACTGAAATGCAGGTGGGCTTTCACTGCTTCCAGGACCCCCAATACTTTTATTTACCACCTGTTTACTTCTGTAAAAAGCTCTGGTAGTGTAGAGATTAAAGCATTTGGCTGCTTAACCAAAAGGTTGGTGGTTCAAACCCACCAGCTGTTCCACAGAGGAAAGATGAGACAGTCTGCTTCTGTAAAGCTTACAGCCTTGGAAACCCAATGAGGGTCACTATGAGTCAGAATCAACTTGAAGGCAGTGAGTTTGGTTTTTTGGATTTAACTGTGGGAGTTTAGATCTTTAGCACTCAAGATTAGGTGGCATCATAGTCTGGCAGTATTTTTTTGATCTGTAAACAGTTTATTGAGAAGTATTCAAAGCAATATAAGTAAGTCATATTTCACTAACTATTGCCTTTATTTAAAAAATAGTATTACATAAAAACCAAAACCCAATATAGCTACCAATTAGCCTGTTGGTTAACAGAACTGAGGCACCAAATCTTGCCACTCTCCAGTTTTCCTGGACTGTCCTGACCCCTAGTCTCAGATTCCGGGTATTCTGTTTGCTACCAGAATAGCTTCTCCAGCTGAACCCCACCTTTCAATCGTGTCCTCTCATGTCTCCCACCCACCAGGGCAAGGTAACTGCCACACATGCAGTCACTACACCTTCAAGCCCAAACGTCTTTAGCATCTTGTTAGCCCTCTGTACACAGTTTACAAGTTTTTAAAGTCTTCCACTTCTTTAACAATGGAGTCACTTTTTTTTTTTTTTT